AGACAGATAAACAGATAGACAGATAGAAAGATAGACAAATAAAAAGATAGACAGATAGACAGATAGACAGATAGACAGGTGGACCGATAGACCGATAGACAGACAGACAGACAGACAGACAGATAGATAGACAGATAGACAGATGGACAGATGGACAAACAGATAGACAGACAGAGAGAAAGGGACAGATAGACATATAAACATATAAACAGAGAGCCAGATAGACAGATAGACAGGTGGACTGATAGACCGATAGACAGACAGACAGACAGACAGATAGACAGATGGACAGATGGACAGACAGATAGACAGACAGAGAGAAAGGGACAGATAGACATATAAACATATAAACAGAGAGCCAGATAGACAGATAGAAGGGAAGCGGATAGACACATTGGAGGAGAAGGGAGGCGAGAGGTGGAAGGAGGAAATAGACAGATAGACATATTGGAGGAGTTGGGAGGCGAGGCGGGAGGCGGGGGCTGGGAGGCGGGTGGTGGGAGGCGGGAGTTGGGAGGCGGGAGGCGGGACGTGGCACAGGTGCAAATAGAGTTTAACAGACCGATATAGACAGAAAGACAGATAGTGAGTGAGTATATGACCTGCCTACCCTAATCAAGCCCTCTGCTAATTAACGGCTGCATGGCGTTCAATCAAAAGCTCTAATAAACTAACTGTTGATGTTGGCAGAATATGATTACAGCAAATGCAAAAGAGCGAGGAAGGAGGTGACAGCTACAGCAAGCACGATGCGGAATGACGTCCCCCACCAATCCCCAGCCGAAAATCCGACGGTTGCTCCAGATTTCGCCGCCTTGGCATTGGCCGCAGTGCTATTGACTTGAAGCTGGGAGGTTTCCGGGACAGGCTGCACGATCTCGAGAGGCGTAGCCCCCTGCTGCACCGATAGGTTATAAGGACTATTGAGGATGTTCTGGCACGGCGCGCATGACTCTCCTGCCAAGGACTGCGACAGGTTGCAATCCTTATTACACCAAGCATAGACCCCTACGAAGTAGTGCCCCCCCTCTTGGCGAGTGTCGGGATCGTGAACCCTCAGGGTAACGTTGTTGCGGTTCAACTGTGCTAGTCTCCACGCCCGATCGCTGACGGTGGGTGCCCATCGAGACTTGGAAACTAACATCTCGGGCCACCAGTACGTGTCGGGGCAATCCGAAGGGGAAACACAATTAGCAAGCGTGACGACGACATCGCCAAGCGTCTTGTTCCTGACACAAAAGTGATAGTAATGGTAGCCAGTAGGCTGGCCGACGTACTGATTGATGATCATCTTGTTCATCATGTCGACGTTGGTAACATTAGGCCACCTGTACACGTGGCTGGAGGAGAATTTCACGACGATGGAGTACGTGGCGGCCGTGAGAGGAGTGGTCCCCACCGCCGGCGAGCTGTTCGGCATGGAGCAATCTGCCTGCACGCCGATGAAGAACCACCCGATGGTGAAATCTCTATCGAAAGCCGACACTACCACACTTGACGTACCGCTCGATTGACTGCTTGCCCATGTGCGGTCGAGGGCTGTGGGCATGTCGATGTAATCTTTGGACACATAGATTCTAGGCAAACCGCACGTCAGACACGCTGGTGTGGCTTCGATCACGAGATCGAAGCAAGGGTCTTCAACTTTGATAGCGTAGTAGTTGAGATCCCCGCAGTTGGTTGATTGATTGGCCGGAACCTCTTCTGCCAGAACCATCGTCCCGACAGAAGGCTCGGTAACGAGGCTCCGTTTCGGTGGACATGAGGGAGGCGGTGTGGAATCGTAGCTAACGGAGAGATTGTAGACAGATTGAGCAGATGCGGCGGCGCAGTTGGCTGGATCGGGATCGACACACCGACTCAAGATCCCGACGTAAAACACCCCGCCCTCGTTATACGGATCCTCCAGACCGATAGTAACTGATCGCCGCCCTCCCATCGTCTTCCACGTGTAATCTTCGACCTCCGGCTTCATGACACTGGTGGACACCAACACCTCCGGACAGAAGTTGGCGCCAGGCTGGCAATCACTCACATTGATAGTGATTGGAGCACAAGGGTAATTAACACAGAAGCTGTAGTAGTGCATAAACCCGACAGGCGTAGGGACGTTGACAACGGGACTGCTGAGAAGATCGTTGGTAGAGCCCGTCATGCTAGTTGGATTCTCCAAGGTGACGGTGATGTTGTAGATGGCCGCCTCTTTCCTGACGTCTTCGCAGTACGCATACACTCCAAAGTAGTACATCCCGGGTACGAATTCCGGGTCCAGGTGGCTGATGACAAAGTCTTCGACATTGTCCGACGTGGACTCGTAGTTGGACCAAGTCAGATCGTAAATTTCAGGATTGACAGCCGGAGCTCTGCTCACGTAGATGTCGGGAGTACCTTGCATGGCAGTCAACTTCACTCTCATGTCCATGCAGACTTGGCTGGAATTTACCTCGAACTGAAAGTAGGAGTAAGTGTCGCACAGCGTCTCCGCTGTCCTTGTTAGGTTGTGATACAGTTGAGTGTGCACCTGTGATGTCAGCCCCTTCCACAGTACAACCTTGAGATCCCCAAGATTGGCAGGGTTCTTGTAATCGTCAGCTGCCGGGAAGGCCTGAGGATCGAGATCGAGCTCTTTCACAGTAACTCCCCCCCCTGGGACCGGTGTGTCGTCACCCTCGTTGACAGTGATGATGTACTCCTCATCGCCATAGCCAGGAAAGGCGGGGAGGACCTGCATGCTGCTGGGCATGTACAGCCCAAACAGATTGTTGAACGTGCGCATGTTGATCCCTCCGTCCTTCGAACTGGCATCGATGCGCACTGAAGAGTAGTTCTTCGCTCCGAGCCAGTGGATGGACACGAATTCCCTCGCGGTCACGTTGAGCTTGGCTATGGCGTTGCTGCTTCTGAGCAAGACGTACGCTATGTCGGAGTTGTTAGAGTAGGCAATGTCCACCGGCTGCGGATCCCTCGCCAACCTTCCAGATCCCGGCAGCTCGATCTCATCGTCCAGGATGACCTTGTCGAACGCAAGGTTGATGGCGAGACTGGAAACGTTCTTGTTGTCTTGGGCAGCCACTGCCTGCAAAGCACCGGTCAGGCTGGAAATCTCCGAAGACACAGTGATTTCCGTCACGCCACCTGGCAGATCCACATTCTGCAGACCTCTGTTGATTGGTGCATACTTGGCGTAATTAACCACCAAGAACCGCGAGCCAGCAAACACGATCTTCTTTGGCCAATAGCCCGTGCTACTGAAGCCTAAGAATTTGAACGGTTGTGGCCCATCTTCCTTGATCTGATAGAACATGACAACGCCCGGAGCGACTTCGGCCTGAACCTCAACGCTCCGTGCCGCATCCGATGGATCATACGGAACGATCGTCACGGCGAGGAGATTACCCTGGACGTAGATGTCCGAGGGAAACCCAGGCATGAACACCGGGACAGTGGACCCAGGCTCGGCAATACCCGAAGAGTAGTTGACAGCGCCCAAGCGCTGAAGAGCGACGGATGTCCCCGCTGCCGTGCTGTTGATTAGGAACACCTCCATTCTCCTACCGAACTGATTGCCTACAAGAAGCAAGGGCGCGAGAAGCATCGAGCTGCCGGCGGGAATATAAGCTATGGAAGAATAGGACGGCAAACCGTTGATCAGCCTGGTGCCAAAAGGAACCCCATCAGCTCCTACAGTCCCATCGAAGCGCGTTACTAGAGTCAACCCTCCATCCGCGTTGACCTGATACATGAGCAGACTTGCGCTAAACCCACAGGTCACGTACAGATACGCGCTGCTAGAGAACTGGCCGAACTCTCCAGCTGCTGTGAAATACAATGCTTCGGGTTCAAGATCTTGCACAGATAATTTCGTCCAAGACTTGAACACTGGCGCTGACGGATTTGTGAAATTGTAAACCATTATTCCAGAGGGATTCTTCAACGCGATAAACAGAAACCTATCCTTCTCTTGATTAATTAGTCCAAACGCTAAGGCCCTAGGTTGGCAGCCCATTTCAGTACTCATGGAGTCAACCGTCCCCGCACTGAACTGCTCTAACAAACCGGCCTTTATGCTTGCATTTTGGTTAATTATCCTCCGATGAAGCAACGAATCATACTCCTCTTTCGTAAAACCCCTAGAGTTGAAGTAACTCGGATTAAGCGCAGAAATGTTAGCCTCGAAAGCGTCGCCGCTGTCCCACACCACATCCAAGGTGTCACTCCTGAGTATCGAGAAAGATCGCCCGCCTTTGGCATACAGTTTGCTGTAAGTGTTGACCGCAACAGAAGGACAAGTCGACAAGAACAGGATCGAAGTTATCATCATCAATTGCAGGAAAAGAGAGTACGTGTTCACCGCCATCCCCACCGCAAGCCGACACGTGGCCAGTGATCCGCTCCCATCTCCGCCACAGCCACCATAACCACCACGAGGAGCTTCACCATCGCCGAGACCGCTGCTCGTCACAGCAGCAGCAGCCACGGCTCCTCCCACCGAAAGCCCATCCATACTTTTCCCTCCGATCGCTCCCCTTCGACGATTTGCCATGCTGCTGCTGCTGCTGTTCCCTTTCGCACAAGGTTCAGATCCGGACCACTGCCAATCTCTTGTTGAAAACCTCAACTGGAGCGACCTGTCACTGTCACACTTTTCACCACTCCAAGCAATTTATGTCCTCCTACTCTTCCCCTTGTCCAAAATACTGTATGTATTCAACTATGTTTTCGAAACTTAAAAAAAAAAAAAAAAAAACTGAAATCGCAACTATGCCGCAACTTACAATCAAAGAGGACTGGACCCACCAACTCTTCGATCTATGCAACGGCCGCTCAGACTGTCACACGACTTGTGCGACAGCCGATCACGTATTGACCCTGCAGGGAAAAAAACGAACGAAGTACTAAACGACAAGTAACTCAGTGCTCCTCTCTCCCACGTGTCAAAATGTGCGGTACTATCCGGCAATGCCGAGGGGCACGTGGCACCACCCCGAGCTACCGATTTGCTACAAGAAGAGCTCGTCTGCTACTACGCCTTCTCGAACAATGAGCACATATTACGGACAATGATCGACCAATCCATCAATCCAATCTACTAACTAGAGTAACTACGTGATGTACAGTGATGATTAACAGACCTTGCAGCCTCTGCAGGAATCAATGTGCTGAAGGATCTGAACATCTCATTCGCCAAGTCAAAAGCGCCGACATAATGAGAAACCCCTTGCCTCCTCAGGGGAGACTTCCTTGCTGACGCGTGACTTTCGCAATCCCTAAAAACTCTTAACCCCTGACCATCTCTCTGCCCAGACGCTTGGAGCCCTTTCCCCCCCACCCCCCAACCCTGTTTCCACACCTCTTTTCAGACAAGCGGTCACGTTCGCTTGGCAGCTCCCACCCAAGTCTAGAGCAATGATGCCTTTACACCAAAAGCGCCACTTCCAGCACCAAAGGCGTAACCCTAAACCCTAAACCCTAAACCTGATTCTTTCCAGCAGGCTGATCTGCAATACCGCTTCCGGTGTCCGAACCTACGACCGAAGCTGCCACCCTCCAAAGGCTTTCGAACGGAGCTCATCGAGGTTTCCCTCCGGAGCAGCACCCGAAAAAATCCCAGACACCACGATCGGCTGGCCAGCTTAGCCTCCAAACCTATGACCGACCCTCGAAAAAGTATACATAGAGAGAGAGAGAGAGAGAGAGAGAGAAAGAGAGAGAGAGAGAGAGAAAGAGAGAGAGAGAGAGTGAATGTCAGAGAAGTTTGTTCTTCAGTGAAGAGAGCAGGTCAAAAAGCGTAGAAGACACTGAACTCTCACAGACTCTGCGCGAGGGAACTACGGAGACATTTACAGACAAAGGGCCTGCTCACACTGGATCTATCTTTAATGTATCTGACCATATTTACGGCTGTACTTGCATGCCCTTAAATAACTAAAACAGTCCCAGTGTGAGTATGACCTAACAACGCACAAGGCAAAAAAACAGTTTGCCACACTATTACACCATTATCGCGACGTGAACGAATCGCTGCAGTATATACCTTATTCACAGAAGCTTTCCCTCAGGATAGTCATGAGGTTGAACCTGAGTCAGCGATTGGAGTTTTAGGTGTCAACAACAAAGCCGTAGACCTATTTTCACGATAGTCGGGAGTTCGAGGCTGAGTCAGTCTCATTTACATTCTACGTGAAGAGGTTTCTTAACTTCAAAACAAAATCGAATACACACACACCCGTTAATGTATACATCAATCTGAAGAAGCGATGGCTGCCGGGGAAAAAAAGAGTCGACGGACCCGACTGAAACGAACAAAATTCCGCACTACGAAACTGCCATGCATGATACCGACGAAGTCGTAAAACGCTCCATACACTCTGACATTAGATGTGTCCGGTCATACGTCCCCGTTATGATTGTCGGTTGATGATAAGGACTATCCCGGCAATTAAAGCTCTCTCGGAGATTTACGATGAGAAGGTGGAACTTGGAACTGTCTAAACGACAATGTCGATTACTGAGGATAAGGACCAAATACAAAGCATCGCAATCCCTGCAAAAGAGTTCAAGTAGACAACGAGCAAAAAGCAAACGAGAAAAAGCACGAGCCTGCTGAATATTAGACTTTTGTCAGCAAAAACACAACCACTACGTCGAAGTTCAAACCAGTAGAGCGGCCCTCACAAACATGCTTCTCTCTCTCTCTCTCTCTCTCTCTCTCTCTCTCTCTCTCTCTCTCTCTCTCTCTCTCTCTCTCTCTCTCTCTCTATATATATATATTTTTTTTTTACTTACATGTTTTTGCCTTTGAATCGATTAACATGTTGTTGTTGTTGTTTTGGTCCTCTTGTCCGTATGTCAGATGGATCTTTTTTTTCCCCTTTTTTTCCAGAAGGAGAGAACACATCCATTACAGATTTAGCATATATCCAACTTATCTGTCTAGTGCAAAATCGGTGACTCATGCGAGAACACTTTGAGAAGTCAGCAGACACATCCATGGGCAGGACGATCGCGCACCATGACGGTCCTTGATCAGCGCTCGGCTCAAGCCTCTCTCTCTCTCTCTCTCTCTCTCTCTCTCTCTCTCTCTCTCTCTCTCTCTCTCTCTCTCTCTCTCTCTCTCTCTCTCTCAAACACACACACACGCGCACACAAACACTCAACTACCTGTCAAACTTAACGACTTCATCTTCTCTCTGGTTTACTGACATTCGAACGATAGGGTATGGAAGGCACATTCGCGTGTAACAGGGAGGATAGGTTAACAGAGATCTAAATTTTCAGACAATTTGTCATGCCATTTATAACAATACCCTAGGGTCATTTTAACTAAACTTGCCACCAATTGATAGAATGGGGATCACACTAACTACTTGCCAAAAAAAAAACGAAAAAAAATCATTAAAAAAACTATAAACATAAAACAGCACAAGGCAAAAGTGCACTTTCATGCAAATTTCGTCAACATTCCAATTTAAAAAATCTCTACGAATTTCAGAAATCTCAGCAGAGGAATTTAAGTTTCCAATGCTCCAAATGAGACCAAATTTGGCACACACRACCAAAACAAAAGCAGGCAAAAAATAAAAGAGAAAAAAAAAGCCCCCCCCCAAACCCTAATTTCAGTTTTGAAGTTTGAACCCATTAACCAAGGAGCTGAAAGTAGGGTCCCGGTTACGCACTTGTTCACTCTCAAGTGTAATGAACCAAAATCATTAAAAAAACTATAAACATAAAACAGCACAAGGCAAAAGTGCACTTTCATGCAAATTTCGTCAACATTCCAATTTTAAAAATCTCTACGAATTTCAGAAATCTCAGCAGAGGAATTTAAGTTTCCAATGCTCCAAATGAGACCAAATTTGGCACACACAACCAAAACAAAAGCAGGCAAAAAATAAAAGAGAAAAAAAAAGCCCCCCCCCAAACCCTAATTTCAGTTTTGAAGTTTGAACCCATTAACCAAGGAGCTGAAAGTAGGGTCCCGGTTACGCACTTGTTCACTCTCAAGTGTAATGAACCCAGTCTCGTCATCCAATCATGTCGCAGATAACAATGTCGTACAATGCCATGAGCTAATCAATCCAATAATTCCATCAGTTCGAAGTCATTGAAGTACAGGTTTCCTCATTACCATCACCATGTGTATGTCTCAAGTCCACAGTACCCAGAAAAGAGAGGAGGGAAGAATAGACATTTGGAAGGCGAAATACAAGTCCCTCTTCTCCTTCAGGCTCCCCACCTCTCCCACGTCATCAATATGCACTTCAATGTGCCACGTCAGCACTCCGTGTAACATGCGGATCATTTCGAAGCAGCTTCTGGCAGGTAAACTATCCTCCAATAGCGAGCAGAATCCTCAGCGGCTTCACATCTGAAGAAACCAGGTACGTACGCACGATGACTCACATCACCCACACTCTCTCTCTCCTCTCCTCTCCTCATTCCCCTCACCGTCATCTATGGTCGCGGTCTTGGCCGCCCTCTCCCTATCTCACTGCTATGATATCTGGCTGCCGCCCATCCAGCAGTCTGCCGCCATCATCTCCTCTCCAGTCCCACCCGCAGCGTCGTAGCCGCAAGCAACTCGCAAGACTGAATGCTCGAGCAGTAGCGAGGTCAACCTTCCGTAAGCATTGACTCGCACTGTTCAAGGTCAGCGTTGACTCGCACTGTTCAGGGTCAGCGTTGACTCCCACTGTCCATGTGAGGGCTCGGATCATCCGATCAGTCCCAGTTTCAGTCCGGACTCCTCTAGGCCTGAATCTTCCAGGGGAAGGAGCAAGAGACCCTACAAAGTATGGCCACGGAGAAGGATCGGCTATGGAGGAAGACGATGGCGATGGAGCGAGACAGGTAATAGGATATGGCGGGAAGAAGAGGGCCTGAAGACTGTGGGCCTCAGTCCGCTCCACTCCACACGGACAAACGGCTAAAATTTTGGCAATGTATCTTTCCAAGTTCTAGCAGAGGACTCAGTCACATTTTGCACATTTGGGGAGTAGTGAAGCGAGGCCATGTGGGTACCTTGACGGAGAGCGATGGACATTACATGCAGAGGTCCCAGCCGGGCTTAGGTCAGCATTTACGAAAATCAACATGGTCGGCAAACCAGCCAGGCTCATGCCAAGCTAACATGTCATCCCGCCAGCGAGGCCTGGCAAGTTTTCCATTCAGGGTACTCATCCGACTAGAAGCTGATCGACTAAGCATCTGGATGTAGTTGCGATCAGATACATGCAGCAAAGGAGGTAGTAATTCCGGTCCCCTACCGTAGGCCACGTTGTCTTGAACGAGAGGGAACTAGGTCTGTACTCAAAATAGAACTCTCTGCGATGTATCGTACCGCCGCAGGGCTTCGCTCCACCACTCTCCACACATGCAGAAAAGACAAAAAATATGGCTATGTATCTTCGCAGGTTCTATCGGAAGATCCATTATCCTTTTGCACATCTGGTGCGCAGTGGAGTGAGGCCCACAGTCCGTAATTCAGTCCATAAAGCTAGTGTGAACATGCCGAGGCCTCAGTCTGGGAACGACATTTCAGTGAAAAAAACACCTTTCCTTCGGAGGACTGTGCCAGTATGCTAAAGG